TAAACAATACTTATATAAATATTGTTCAATTTTAAATTAACCAGAAAAACAAAACATAACCCAAGTGCAACTATCGACAGAAAAATGCTTATAACTCTGCTGGTACTTTTACGCACATGGCGGTTTTTTGCATAACTGGGTCCAATTGTAAACTCAATTGAAGCAGCGTAAAGCTGAATTGTAAACTTTAGAAACTATAAATCTAGTGATTTTTCTGAATTACCATCCAAAGCTCCCGGTAAGGGTAAGGCGAGAATAATGTAAGGTAATCGAATTGAGCTTACGTCGTGTCGTCAATGGGCCCTGATTGAGCTCTATAACGACATTACCGTCAGAGACTGATGAACTTTGCTATGAGGTGGGGTCTAAAATTGTCTAGAAAGCGGCATTTACTATAATTTGTGACAGACAAACATACAATTAAAGTGTATAAGTATATGCAAATTATAATAAATTCAGTGGTGGTAGCTTATTGGTGACATGCTCGCTTGAACCAAGTAAGGAACCAGCTCCGCGCATCTGTAGCTTTAATCTGTGAATCTTATTTCCAACATACAACTATATTTGTGTATAGGGGGAAGTGATTTAAAAAAAAAGAAAGTAAGTTGTAGTTCAGTTTAGAAGGGCTGAAATTATCATTTTGAGGGGTTTTAGAAGAAGGAGCAGATGACGTCACAGTGATTCTGTCACACTCTCTTAGTATCGACGTTAATGGTACTTTGGCTTACTACTCTAAACTTCTGCTATATTAGTCAACTAGCATAGCCCGCGGCTACGTCCGCGTTCAGATAACCGAAAACCAAATTCTTAGGTTTTACATATTAGTATACTCTTACATTACAGTTTTTGTATTTTTTCTCAGAAATAAGATATTTTTCCGCAATAAAAAGTATCCTATATGTTGACTCGGATAACCAGCTATCATCATACCAAATTTCATCAAAATCCCTCCAGTGGTTTATCCGTGATGCGGTAACAGACAGACAGACAGATAGACAGACAGACAAAAAGTCTAAAATCTATAGATTCAGCCTCTGTATCGATAATAATGTCTATTTCAATAAGATTTTCCAAAAATTATTTAATGTACAGATTCGGTCTAGTTACAATTTTATTATATGTATAGACCTACTACTAAATAATTATAATAGTAATTTCCACGCTTACCCCATTTTTTTTTAATATACCTATTTATTCATAGAATAATAAATTGCACATTATCTGATAAAATTTCAATGTTGTCTTTTATAACATGTTCATGACTTACACCAGCAACAAGAGGTAGTGGTTCAAAAGACAGTGTCTGGAAAGTACGTACAAAGGCAAATGTATTAATAAGTCAAACTAAACTATGAGTGATGATATTATGTTCGAGACACCTGCTATAATTCTCTTCTGGAAAATGGCAAACTACACTAAATTGGAATTATAAACTAACTAATAATATGTATAACAAAGACTATAATATCATCTCAAATAATTCTGAATTTACAAATTTAGTTTTACTTAGCACAAATATTTCTATTTTATTTTAATAAAATCCTTTTTATATTTATAAAATGAAAAAGTACGTGAAAATGCTTTAATGTGACCACACGAAGACCATTAAAAAAGATAATGAAAAAAAGTTTGAAAAACAAACATACGAACATTCATTTTTATCTGTATCTTTTTTTTTAATTTTAAATCTAGGTCTCCACAAATATATATAGAGGGCCTTTTAAAGCCAACAAAGATACAAGTAAACTACTCATAGAACTAAATACAGAATATTTATGTAGGTCTTAATATACTTTTTGACTATTTTCTTATTTTCGATACAAATTTTGTATTTTGTTTACAAAGCTAGATAAGTGTTTGATTTTTATCAAATTAATTAGACTTTAAAATAAAAAAATAATTATCTTAAACTCTTTTACCGTAAAAGCTGCAAAGCTATGGAATATGCTCCCCCATGATGTTCGCCATTCAAACACACTAAATATTTATAAACGTCGTCTAACTAATTATTATCTGTCTTGTTAGTTATTGAGTATGTATGTATATACTATGTATTTATGTGTCTATATGTATGTATGTATGGATGTATGTATGTATTTATGTATATGTGTATGTATATATTGTATACACGTATACACGTGTACACATACATGTATGTATATATTTTTGTCTTATGTATGTATTCATGTTTGTAAACGTAGTTCATCATGTCTGTATTTAGTGTTAATTGTACCGTCCCGTCTACGATTCCATTAATCCTTTCACCAAAGGTTGTCTGTAAGAGATTGCTCGTAGCAATAAGACCGACTTTGCATGCCTCTTTGTTATTTTTTTTTCATCTTCTGTACTCTTCTTTTGTGTGTGCAATAAAGTATTTATCTATCTATCTAAGTCACTCATTCGACCAATATTTCCTTTATTATAAAGAGTAAAATAACAGAAAAACTCTTACATTTTACTCTTTATCTAAAACCAATGGAAAAAGCTATTTCTAAATGCAAATCGAAATGATATCGAAAGTAATAAAAGCAAACGAATAGCTCAAATAGACAGTCTCGTTAAAAACTCATTCAGTACAATATCTTAGTGGGGTATTGGGGTTACAATTAATTTCAGCGCGGTCTGCGGTCGCCTGCAGACAAGCTGTTTTCGGTTTGTTTCACTTGGCGTTTTACAAAATAATTTGGGTATATTTTTTTTACTTAAATTGTACATATTATAGTGACGTTGACTAGCTCCTTATCCTCACTTTACTCGAATGCGTTCCTAGACGCCTAACCCTTTTTTTATCGTCGGGAAATGCATTTACGCATACCACCTGATCCCCCAGGTGGTGATGTGGGGCTCACCAGCTAGAAGAGCCGGTACTACCCACTAAAACCCGATATCCCTTCCCCCCGCCTTAGTGGGACGCCGCAGGATCGCTTGCGCATAACTACTACGGCGCCCCGGCGGTAGGTCTGCCTAAGCGCTAGGCAGACCACCAAACCAATGCGGCTGCTCCACAGTCAACTCTGCTACGCCAGAGAGGTACCCGGAGCAGCCCCATTATACCTAACCTCCGCCCACCGAAGTGGGCCACCTCCAATCGGCTGCAGAGGACATGAAAACGGCAACGAAATACCGACACTCCTCTTCCCCTGCAGCCCCACCTCGTCCGCCATCAAACGGTGGCGGTCCCGTCTAGGCCGCGGAAGTTAGGGAGAACGGCGCACCGAAATACCGGCACTCCTCTCCCGCCGCAGCCTACCTCTCCGCCGGATGCGGGCCTGCGACCACAGTCCCGCAACCGGCACCCATCATCCGGCTGTGGGACCAAGCGGTCCGACCACCAGTGACTACAACGCCTTCAGCTCGATGCCTAGACGAGCGGCCCCACCCAAGCTATTTGGTCCGCGCCGGATTTTTTTGGTACCACCCGCCGCCCTAAGCAGGTGGCATTCCCCTATCCGCCACCTGGGGACGCGCCCGGTAGGAGTTGGCTTCTCCCACGGGTAGATGCCTAACCCTAGCCTATGAATTCTTCCAAGTTAAAGTCTATTTGTTCACTTTTATTTTATCTCTATTTTTATTTAGGGACTTTTATCCTTTTCGGACATGTTACTCCCATCGTTTCTTAACCTTTTTTTTTGTGTCGGGAAATGCATTTACGCATACCACCTGATCCCCCAGGTGGTGATGTGGGGCTCATCGGCTAGAAGAGCCGGTACTACCCACTAAAATCCGACATTCCCTCCTCCCCTCCGTCTTAATGGGACGCCGCAGGATCGCTTGCGCATAACTACTACGGCGATCGTATCTTAACCTAAGTACAGCATCACATATATATTATGGAAAAAGGGAAATAGATTCAATGATTTGTTTACCTTGTCGTTGCGTGGGAAGCGATTCTGCGGCCTTACATTAAAACGAAGTAGGAACCATTGGGTTTTAGAACTTTTTCTAACCGGTGAACCCACATAACCATCTGTACTATGTTTACAGGTGATATGCGAAATTGCATATTCCAACGGTAAAGGTCAAAATCTATTTAAATAGTTAATTTCATCATAATCAGTACAGCTGTTTCAGAGTCAGGAACATACACCTTCGCACACAAATACATGCAAACTTTCTCATTTGTAGAAGGAAAATGAGGTAACTCTTATGTAACCAATAGAGGTGATAAGACGATGTATTATAATTTTTAAGAAGTATTTAGTATTTCCACTCTATGGGCCATGGGCTATTAGAAAAGACTATAGCCATAGATTATTATATAATGGTATAAAGATATAATTTTGTATAAAGGAGATGTATTTACGTAACTTGAGTAGTACAGCCTTTTCCACCGTGACCTCCACATTAGACGCCGTCTAAGTTAGTTATTTATTCGGAATTAAGTTCTTTTTTAATGTAACTCTTGCATAACTTTTTTAAAATTTAAAGCAACTTTTTATTCGATAAGTTGAATGAATGTGAACTGCAGTAACGAATAGATTAAGTGCACTTCGAAGACAGTTCATAATAGTTTTAGTTTCTACTTCGAGGACTAAAGCGATGAATTTAACTAATGTTGGTGACAGTTTTGGAACCTTTATCTCCCATTGAATTATGCTAATTGATTCCTCTTTAACATCCCACTGCTGAGCACGCGCCTCCTTTCAATACTAGGGAGATCAGGCCTTAGTTCACCACGCTGGCCAAGTGCGGGATCGCAGACTACACATGTCTTTCCAAAACTTGTTAAGTTCTCTCAGACATGCAGGTTTCCTCACAATGTTTTGCTTCACTATAAGATATGAAAATATCAGAAATTCGAGATCCGGGATTTAAACACGCTTCACAGGGTTACCCAAGCGAACGCGCTACCACTGTGTTACCACTATATAAAAAGGACTGAATACAATTGATTTCGCCTACTTTTTTTTTTTTTTTTTTTTAAATCTTTATTTATAAAGCCATACACCTATATAAGGTTAAGTCAGCTTATTGTTACATAATTACAAATTATACATTCAGACAGAGATCAGTTGTTTCCTTAATTCTAGAGAGTGTATATAAAACCAAATTATGTGTTTACTATTATTGCTAGCGAATTTAGAACTAAGTACAGAGTGAAACAGGAACATAATATCTTGTCTTGGACATTGGGTATCTGTTAATAGCTTTATTCTAAGTGACTCATTAATTTTACATTCTATCAAAAGGTGCATTAGGTCCTCCTTCGTATTACACACAACACAATTGGGACTTTCTGTTTTACTCATGAGATAGCCAAAATTGTTCAACGGAACATGTCCTGACCGAAGTCTAAAACAAGCAACCAGTTCTTTATATGTCATCCTAGTATTACTGAACCAAGAAATTTGTGGAGGCTCAGCAGTAAGGGATTTGTACCAAATGCCTTTTTCGCAAGAGATCACATTATAATGTGTCTTCCACTGATCATAGCAAAGCTTCTTTACAATTGGGATATAATCTGAAGACTGTAGCGATACACGAAGAGGAATTCCATCAGATTGGGCTACTTTGGCGAGCTCATCAGCGACTTCATTACCAAAAACTCCCACATGGGAGGGTACCCATTGTAGGTAGACGTTAATCCCATTACGTATCATTGTTTGGATACTTTCAATAATAAGATAAGCCTCCTTTCTTCCTAACTTTCCTCTGTTGCATGCAAGAAGGTGATATAAACTACTTTTAGAATCAGTGAATATGACTATTTTTGTATAGTTAGTTGACGTTAAATAATGTAGGGCCTCAGCAATAGCCAAAAGTTCCAAGCACATGATGTTAACATTTGGATCATCTACGTTGAATTTGGCCGCCACCAGGGCGACTGGATCATAAAATGAGCATCCATTGTGGTTCCCAGTCTTGGATCCGTCTGTATAAATTTGAACAAAATCTGCGTAATTTACTTGTATCATTGACACTGTGGCATCTTTAAGTTCTTTAATTGACAGTTTTGCTTTTGAAGACGTTATGTTTTTGATATCAATCTTTATTATACTTGTCAAATCAATTTTATAAATAATGAAAGGAAGTTGGTGGGATGGCCAGTTCTGGAATTTATTAATGTTTAAATCTTGATATTGACGGTGACTTGACTGCAACAGAGGAAGTTGGTTTTTTCGCCAGTAAGGTACATTAGACTTTATCAGATTTTCAAAAACAGCTAATCGTTCATGACAGTAATCATTTTGTCTAGAGGATATTTTAAGAAAGTATTTGTGGCTCAAGTAATTTCTACGTATAAAAAGAGGAGGTATACACATCTCAGTTTGCATGACATGAGTGGGTGTAGAACGGATGAAACCTCCACAAATTCTTAAACACTGGTTCTGTATGACATCGAGTTTCTGAAGTAACCTCGGGCTCGCGTTCCTGAAAAGAAAACATCCATAATCGAGTCTACTTCTTACTGTACTTATGTATAATCGTCGTAGATGTGTCGGATGAATACCAAAGGACAAGCCACTAACACAACTCAATATGTTAATGAAGGGTATACATTTTTGAGTTAATTCATTGATATGCTTTGTCCATTTAAAGCGACTGTCTATCCACATACCCAAAAACTTAATACATTGTACGACCTCAATGTCACAGTTATTAATATTTATGGAAATAAGTGGTAATTTGTATTTCCTTGATATAACGCACAGCTTGGTCTTAGAAGGTGAGATACTGAGTCCTATTGGTGTAATAAGTTCACAAAAGTTATGCAGTACATTACGGATAACGTCAGTACACATGTGGATACTGTCGTGTGAATAGTAAAAGGAAAAGTCATCTGCATACTGTGATATTTTAACGTCATATCTTATATCTCTACAGGCTTTTATTGTGACAATATTGAATAAAATAGGAGACATAGGGTCCCCCTGTGCCAAACCCTGACGAGTGGTTCTAACCAATTCACTGCCGTTGCTGAGTTTATATACAATATGACGCTCCTTCAGAAACTCGTGTATATACCCACATATGTACCGATCCACCTTGAAATGAACTAGAGCTTCTATAAGAGATCTAATTAAAACATTATTATACGCATCGGTAACATCTACAAAACTGCAGAGTGTAAACTCTTTTTTAGTGAGCGCTATTTCCGAGTCTACAATAAAACGAGATAAAATATCGTGACAAGAGTAGCCTCGACGGAAACCCAGGGTCCCCTCATGAAAAAACTTATTCTTTTCAAAAAAATAATCCAACCGTCTTGCTACAACACTATTGAATATTTTACACATGCAACTTATTAAAGAAATGGGTCTATATTTTTTGGTATTATTGTCTCTTTTCGGAATTGCAATTACTTTGATTTTTCGCCATTGTATTGGAATTATACCAGTTTTATAAATGGAATTATAAATCTGTAGTAGAATTTCCATAGCTTTCTGAGGTAAGTTATAAATCATTGAGTATACGATATTATCAAGCCCGGCTGAAGTATCCTTCCTTTTTAGAATATTTATTATTTCCGCCATCGAAAATAATTCAGGAGATGTAAGAGATTGACCCAGAGTACACGGTGGTAAGGTGACACTGTCCGGGGCTAATTTCGTTATAAATTCACTCGCTTCACTTTCAAGTAAGAGACCCGATGTACTATATTTACCTTTCATCCATCCAAGCTTTCGCCACATTTCAAAACTAGAAGTTGAAACATCCACACTGTCACAAAATTCCTGCCACGATTTTCTTTTCGCTTGCTTTATTAATTTCCTAGCTATAACTACCTTTTCTCTGTATACCTGATAGGACTCTGGGTTCCGATTCCTTCGAAAAAACTTAAGAGCCAGTCTTCTCTCCGCGACTGCTTTGGATAAACTTGGATTCCACCAGGGCTTGGGTTTAAATTTTGAACACATTTTAAAGTTAGGTTTTATATATGGAATGCTTAAATGTGCTGAATCATTAATTATACGTAAAAAATTATCATAATTTTCTTGAATATTATTGCTATTAAAACTAAAATCATTACATTTGGTTTCTATTTCAATCCTATATTTATTCCAATCAGCTTTCTTTAAATTTCTCTTATGATATAAGTAAACCATTTGCGATTGATGTAATTTAATACTTAACAATAGATGATCACTCCCTAATGTTTCATTAGTAGTCGACCATTCACAATCTAATACCAAGTCTGAGCTAACGAAAGTGACATCAGGTGACGTACAGACTGTATTCATATCTACCTGAGCTATGCGCGTCGGCGAGCCGTCGTTTAGGTAAACAAACCCATAGTCACAGCTACTCTCGGCTAACAGGCGACCGCGCGTATCTGTGTGATAAGACCAGTGTATGTGATGGGCATCGAAGTCACCGGCTATTAAAGTTTTATTATTAAATTGACTAAATAACGTATCGCAATCTGTTCTATTTAAATGCATACTTTGAGGACAATATATACCAACGACATACTGAAGTTTATTATTATTAATTAGTTCTATACACAAATATTCAAATGAGTTAAATTGGAATGAAGTATCTTTTATACGCGATGATAATGTTTTATGAACTAATATCGCGAGCCCACCGTAACTGTCGCTTCGGTCCTTTCTAAAAATCCGGTAACCAGAAAAGTACACATTCTTATCTTCAGACAGCCAAGTCTCCGATAGTATGCAAATATGAACATTACTACCTATTAAATAAGACTCCAGTTCATGTCGTTTATTATATAAACTGCGGCAGTTCCATTGAACAATATTAAGTCCTATACATTCACTCATAGGATGATTCAAGGTCATGCCGATTATGTGTTTAGAATACCTGTTTATTTATTTAGAATACCTGTTTATTTATTTATATTTATGTGATTGTGACAATTGAATAATAATTAAAAAATAATAATAACAAACGGTGTAATTATGTAGTTGAGAATTCTAGTTTTAGTTACGTTTTTATGTTTACTGTTTTTAACTTAACAATTAAACGAGTAACCCTATTTTTAAGTCTTCGATTAGTAATCAATGGTATGATGTCCTTTAACATATCTATGAGTGTATGTATGTTTTCTGTATAAGTAAGTGTAATTTCTTTAATGTTGGTGACACCGAAAGTACTTTCTAAATATTCCTTGAGTTCAATTGAGGTCAGGGGGTACATTTTCTGAGAATGCTGAATATGCTCTTCGTTCGCATGCCAGCTGGATGAATGTATATCAATTGTTGGTGATTTACGCAGTTTTTTGGAACTATTTCTTTTCTCATAAACTATACTGGAGCTAGATTGGGAAGCCTCACTGTCGTCGATATTTTCGTCACCTATAAGTGAGGCCCTGTCGTCACAGCGCTGAACCGGGGGGTTTGCGGCAGTAACAGCGGGGATGGCGGCGGCGCCGACGTCAAAAGAAGCGGCGGCATCGATGTCAGCAGAAGTAACGTCACTGAAGGCAATCGACTGAGAGTAGTTCTCGCTGGTTGACTCTGTCGGGGGGTGAGGCCTTTTGAAGTAAGGTAGAACAGCACCATCATCTTCATCTGCTTGAGAGCTGTCGATGTCAACCTGAGGTGGGGCTTGAGGGCACTTTTGTGCTACATGTCCTTCCTTTTTACACAAAAAACAGGTCATTGTGTCTGACGATAGGTATATCCAATAATTGGTTTCATCAAATTTAACCTGTATACGCTCTGGTAGGTGGTTGAAGTCTTCCGGGGAAACATAAACTTGCCGTCTGAAGCTTAAGATATGGTTGTAGCCAGGATCATTCAGTCTTGCACGTAGAAATGTTATTGGAGACACAGGAGTAATATTCATTTCTTTTAGTTTAGATTCAATCACTGTGTGTGGGATAATCGGGCACACATTGGATAAGATAACTCGTCTGTTTCTACTAATCAATGGCCGTATAGTTAATTTTGTTCCAGCGATAGTTATCTGTGTCCTATTATCGACCAGGTCATTAACTATGGATTTTGTTGCTAAAAAAATACATATACGGTTATTTGAAATACGTGACAAGAATCTAATCATTTTCGGGTCAATAACTTTTCCTAAGGCTTGAGCATAGTCTTTATTTTGGACATTGTCGATGGCATCTATCACAATGGCTTGGTCCTTTGAAGGAAACATTGGATTTTGTGTGACATTTGCATAGCTTTTCGTGGAATTATTCGTTGTAGTGGTCATTTTGTCCCCGTAGTCAGAGACAAAACGTTATCTTGGAACAAAAGATCAGATGTTTTTATAACATGCTAGCACAAGCTTACAACGCGAGCAGGAAATATAACAATAACCATTTAATTTATTGCACTCGTACGTAACTAAGATAGTAAACGCGTTAAACGTGCGCTCTCATCGAATGCGCAAATGCAACTGATTTCGCCTACTACACAATTCTCAATTTTTTTATTGACTAACTTAAAAAAAACTAGCGGTAAAAGTTTTTTTTGTATGATTTATTTAAAAATTAAAAATTTAATTTATGTGAGCGTGCACAGTTTAGAGGATTTGCTTTGAAACTTTCAACTACGTTATCTGTAAAGTGTATTGGTTTTTGCCAATAGTAAACCTTCATAATTTTTATTCATACCCTTTTTATAAACGTATAACATATAATATTAAACTTTTTATAAAAAAATATATCGATAAAACGTCTTTGAATCTCCATTTTAAATTGCTCCTTAATAACTTATGCTTTTTCTAACAGAACAGACAATTGTATGAATATTCAATAAGTATATTCTTGAAGGATTTATTTGATCGAAAGTACGACACTGCTTATATAAAAAAGGAATATGGTGAACTTCTTACTAAAATCTAAATATTATTATAAATACGTAAGTTTGTAATTAAAGAAATAAATATCAAAACTTTTTTCCCATTAAAACATATATTATAAAAATTCAAATTTAGCTCAAATAAGAGTACACCTGAACAACGGAGACACAAATGTGTAGGTCCAATACAAATGGCGAATCGACCACGGCGATCAATTATAAAACGAAATTGGTTCGGTCAGTGCTTCTGTTTTATTGAATGAACCTCTTGTAAATTTAAATGAAAAAAAAAACTGAACACGAACAGACCGATAATTCGAAATAATGTCTTTTATCAATAATTCATGATATATAAAGCTAACTGACTTAGTTGTCTAGTGTCTAGAATGTACGGCTGCAGATCCTGAGGTTCGAATTCCAGGTCGGGCCAAGTATTGGTTTCAAGTTATTGGATTTTTCTGTCAAGTAACAACCCGGAGTTGGCAAGTTCGTAGTATTTATCAATCGAAACTCAGAACGACGTGGGGGAGAAACACCGCTAACAAATAAATAAAAAAATATGTTGGGACATTATGCGCTCTATTCCCGTCATTCTTACAATACGGTAGAACGATAACTATTAGAAATCAGAAACAGAGCCAGCGGCTTTACATACCCTCCGAGATACGAGGTTTTCACACCGCCATCTTCCCAACTCCGGACTGCTATTCAGAAATTCTTAGTAAAAAAATCAACAACTATACTTAACCTGACCTATAACTCTAACCTAAACCTGCGAATCAGCTACCTAAAATCATCTCTTCAATTAATACTTTCTTAGATTTACGCGAATATTTGAAATTTTAAATAAAACTATCTTTTCGGATTTTTTTCGGAGTTTTTGGTTCCCGACAATTCTAATGCTTTACAGCAAACATGGACACGGGAGAAACTCTCTACCATTTAAAAAAGACAGTTTTAATAAAAAAAAAACTTCAATTCTAATTCTTACACATATATGATACTGCTCTTATTCTAGTCGTACTCAACGTTTACCACATTCAACACGATAAAAAATTCTTATTAGCCATTTAAGTATTTATATATTAACAAAAACTTTAGCCTTTGCAACACCTGCATAATATTTTATAGCATCTCCATTTTCTATTAAAGCCTTTTATAATTATAAAACTTTACACTTTTAAACTGGCTCTTTAATGTGAATGAAACAAGCGAATGCATTTTACCTCGCAAAGTTTTATACCGATTACTTTTATATTTATTTTTAACTCCCTTTTTTTCGAGTAATAACTGCTTGAAAAAATTGAAGCTTATAATGAGTTTACATAATTTTTATATCTGTATATTATGAAGAATAGATAAAAAGTGCAATTTAACACTACTTGTTTTCTATATCGTGTCAACCTGTACTTGGTGGGAACTGGTCCCGCAATATCGGGCCTAGTAGAAAGAACACGACAAGAACACTCTAGTTTATTGTTATTGCGATTGGGATCTCTAGCAAATTTAGATAGTGTTTGAACCTGTAGTGCCTGTAAAGGTGGATAAAATCATAATTTTTAATGAAATTAAATTTTCGCCACTTTTTTTATGATATACTAGAAAAACAAAAACAAATCTATCCCACGGGAACCGTACATTTTTTCGAGCAAAAAAATAGCCTATGCTAGGACATAGACTACTTTTACATTTTACATTCCAGACTATAATATATCTCTGCGTCAAGTTTCATTCAGATGCATTCAGCCGTTCTGGCGTAATTGAGTAACAAACATCCGTCGAAACATCTACATGTGCACATTTATAATAATAGTAAGATGATTGTTATTTACATTTTCCTATATAAATATATAGTTTTCTAATACATATCCTAGTTAAAGAACTTTGTTTTTTAATTAAAAACAGTACTTCTCTGGAACACTTTATTTTACTTAGTAAAAGCTTAACACATTCAAAACAACTCAGACATAAATAGGGAAAGGATTAGTGTAAACGAAGTATTAATCAAATCATGATTACTAAAATGTGTTTGGGTTGGTTTATATTTCTTTCAAACATATCAATGTACATAATTTTCGCATCAAGATAATTTATAGTACCAATAATATTATTAAATACAGGTTACTTTTGCAAAATTCAAAGAAAATATATTTTTTATAGAAGAAAAGGTGTAAGCGGGGGATTCATACTAATGATACATAAGTTGCTATCGTCGTTCATAAATATCTGCGACGTTACAGGAGTAGCGCATGCGCTGCCGTCCTTGAAGAGACCTGAAGTCGCTGTAGATATGACTTTTGAAGAGAATCGGTTTATAAATCTTAGGGAAAACCTCAGGAAGATTGTTCCACAATGCACACGTGTGAGGTAAACGTGATGTACGTAAATTTTTGGCATGCACAGTATATAAGATGCGTGGATAACTTCATACTCGATGGTGAAGGGTGTGATGATATAACAACATATTTAATAGAAAAATTGTTGAGTACAGCTACTTTCTGAGTCTGTTCACTGTTTTTTTCTAATGAAACGACATATTCAACTGTTTATAGTGAAACAGATATCTGACCGGTTAAAAAAATGTTGTATTTGTCTTACAAAGCTTGCTTATTCCTAAGAGATTTCTATATTTTTGCATCTCAAACTTATCTATCACTTTATTTTTTTTAATATTTATAATATTTTTTTGGATATTTGGGCAACTGTATCTAAGTATTTTTTTATAAAATATTCGTAACCTCAAAGATCATATTTTTCATTTTTCACTGAAATTGGGACAGGAACTGAAAATACTGAACTTCTGTCGCTTAGTACTCGAACTAAATACTAGCATAAAGATATGAACGATACATATTTAGTTATACTTTAAACCTAACCGATAGCTAGACGTCTGGTAAGAACCGCGGGAACGCCGCTAAGCTGTGCACCTGCAAAGTTCAATTTACATTTAATTATACTAACGTTTTAATTAACCTCCAATTTACCATCCAACTCTCGTCGTCTTAAATTAAGTTCGACGTAGATTTTAACGTGGTAAGAATTGGAATAACTGTCGATTCATTGAATATTATTATCTAGGATTTTTCTCATTCATACTATTTTTTCTGATAGTGAATAGTTATTTTGATCTTTTTATATGTACTAGAAACATGTATTAGGTAACAATCATTGCAATATCAGTGAGATATTGTCCACAGGAAATACAATATCATATTGTTACTAATGCTAAGTAAAATGTTTTTAAAAACTTTTATCATACCTGCCTTATGAGTTTATTGTGTGAAAAAGAAAGATGCAAAATATATATTTTAATATTACTGTTCCTCTTAGCCTACATCATCCCACTGCTGGGCAAAGACCAATTTCGATCGAATTTGTTCAATTCATCTCGCCACCGTTCGTGGTCCGCCGCGATGCCGCCTCCCTGTCTCAGGGCTCCACTTTGTGGTAACTTTGGCCCATAGTGCTGCAGGCAGGCATACGGCAGATATAGTTTAATATAATTAACATTTATTTTAAGTTTATCATCCTATAGTTATTGAAATCCAGATGGTTTCTTAAAGTAACTATTGCACACTAAGAAGTGGATCTCAGTTCACTATTGAGAAAGAAATCCCATAAAATACAAAAAAATATGTTTAGAACCATATTAAGTACCTTGGTTTTTGAAGTCGGTCAAATATAACAAAAAAATAAAAACCGACTTCAAACAAAAGCACTAAAAAGTAAAAATATAACTGATTGGTAGTTTTCATTTACTATACATACCTAATCAAATATTTTCGAAGTCGGTGTGCTTTGCTTTGTATGGGCTGGCACCGATTTCGAAAATATTTAATTAGATATATATTTAATAGGTAGACTTTAATTACTTAGCCAACGCACACCGACTTCGAAAATATTTGATTAGGTATGTATAGTAAATGAAAACTACCAATCAGTTATTTTTTTACTTTTTAGTGCTTTTGTTTGAAGTCGGTTTTTATTTTTTTGTTAAAAAGTTTTTATTTTTCCCTTTTTAGTGTAGACAGTAGTAGCAAAGTAAGAATTCTAACGTGTTAGGCTTGTCGAATCAAACAAAATAAGCTCAATCTCAAAGTATCTACTATTAGCCGTTGAAGAGTTCCACCTATCCACCTTCTGGCCTTACCATCAGATCAGGTCAACAATACCGAACCACTGTATTATCAACGGAAATAGAAACACTTGAAAAGTTTCAAGTCAATATGACAATTAGAAGTAGGTTAAATTCATTATTAGCTATTTTTCCACCCTTAGGAGTGGTATTTTTTTTTGAAATTTAAATGGGACCAATCTGGAAGTATACCCTTTCAAACGAAACAAAAATTGTCCAAATCGGTTAATAAATGACGAAGTTCTGAGGTAACAAACATAAAAAATAAATAAAAA